GACAGAGGCGAGGCTGCCGGACACTGGCGCCACTGGGCCCTCTGACCACCACCAGTAGGCAAACATGGGGTTAGTATCTTGCCCAAGGATATTTGGCATGTAGCCAGGAGGCAGCCTGGGATTGAACCACTGACCTTCTGATTAGTGGCTGACCTGCTCTGCCACCTGAGCTACAGCCACCCAGGGTGGACCTAGGTGAGTGGGGAAGTAGGTGATCACAGCAGTGAAAGAAAAGAGAAAGAAAAAAACCATGAGAACGGTGAGCAACAACAAAAAAAAAAGAAAAAGAAACGGAAACATTCCAATTAAAGCAATGACTGTGACGGTGTTATATCGGCTATGACATCATACTGATATTACTAGGTTAAACACATGTTAAAGGAGAAAGTGTGAATGAATAAGAAAAGAGTGTAGCGGGTTCTTATCTGGAGTGCAGTCAATATAACCACGGTGTGGTGCCGGGGTCGCGGTAGAGCTGTCCGTCCACGTAGAGCCGGTCCACGGCGATGACAGCGCGGGAGCCTTTCTGGATGAAGCTACGTCAAACTGGGAACAGGACCTTGCGTCGTTCCAGGATCTCTTTGGGGAACTGGTCGTTCACGCTGAAGTCCGTTCCTTTCAGCTCCCTGCCGCGACTCTTCACCTGTTCCTTCTGTTTGAATTGGCCAAATTTGGCCACAATTGGACGTGGTCTTCCAGTCGGCGACCTCACGCCCCCCAAGCAATGCACTATTTTGAAGGCGATGTTCTTTACGGTGTCCTCCGGCAGCTTCAGGTGGGTTTTAATGAAGCTTTTCACCGTTGCTTCCGCGTTCTCTCCAGCAGATTCTGGAATACCAGAAAACACAAGGTTGTCTCGCATGCTACGGGCTTGTAGATCGATAACGGACTCTTTTATTTTTTTATTTTCTGTGTTTAGCTGGGTCACGTTATCAGTGAGAGATTTGACCGACTCCCGTAGCATGGCATTTTCAGCGGCAAGCGTTTCTGAATTCCAGGGATTCTCTCAGAGATTTAAATTCCCGGTGTAAAATCTCCACCAGGTACAGCCTCGCATCTAAACTGGACAATCGCTTGTCGATTGACTCCAGGATGTCTGCAATGTCTTTGCTGGCAGGTGATGTTGTGCTGGGGGAGTCTGCCGGGCGACATCTCTTCAATGACGGTGTCTCAATTTTGGCCGGGGAAGATGCACTCTGAGCTTTCTTCATGACTAAATCTTGGAAGCAACGGTTGATGTAATCTTGGAGAGCGTCTAAACTCTCCCCGTTGCCCTACAGGGTGTTAGAGATGATAGGACAGATGTTTTTTCTTATATGACAATTGGTTAGTTTATTTGGTAATACTGAAGCTTAAAGAAACTTTGTTAAATTCTACGCTACCATTCACTTTTTTCCGCCAAAATCTCCGGCGTCTGACGTCACCTACAACATGGATCACTTACCTTTACTCAGTTTAGAGAAAGCGTGTGATTGGGTGAATGTGGCATGTTGTATAGAGCACTTTGAGTAATCCGGGAGACTAGAGAAGCACTATAAAAGAATCAGTCCATTCACTGTCTGAACAGAGTTTCGTCATCTTCCTTATCACTATTATGTTCCGGCACATGTTGTTATTACTTGGATTGATTAAGGTACACATTAGGCTGACATCTGGGGCCAGAACTGAAACTGTTCTGGGCCAACACAGGACGGCAGTGTGTCTGCAACTGGCCTTGTGCTGGCC